GCAGCATTTACCTGCATGTCCCAGCAGGGCTCCTGTGAGTATATGTGGTGGTGGGAAAAACACCCCAAAGGGTGCAGAGGAACCAGTGGTGAGGCCCAAAATCCGAAATCTGGCCAGTCCAAACTGCGCGAAACCAAAAATATTTTTTGATGCTGCTGCTGCTGCTGCTGATGATGATGATGATGATATGCCACATAGTACTTCCAGGTGGCGGGACACTGCCAGCGCTGGTGAGTGCCGCTCGGGTGGCCTGGCACAGAGAGGCAGAGAGGAGAGTTCAGGTGGCTACTCGGAGCCAAAGTACCCTGAGGACAAGAGGGAAGCTAGGAACAACCACGTGAAGCCAGAAAAGGTGCCTAGACGGCCATGGACCAAGGCCAACCGTGACTTCTGGACATTCAGCAATGACTACTACAAATACTGCGATGAAGACTCTGACAGTGACAAAGAGTGGACTGCCGCTTTGTATTGCAGGTATCGAGGTTGGGAGAAAAACCTGTCCTCCAGTGGAGAAAGCTGGGACACTCTGCCAGGGAAAGAGTGTGAACCTGAGCCAGCCAGAGGGAATGCCAATGCCAGCCCCAGTGCTAATGCCATCGCTGGCAGCAGTAAACGCACTGAACTTGAAGAAGATCAAGGACCGTCTTTTCAGGAAGCGGAGTGGGCATCGCCGGAAGAAGAAGTCCCAGTACAATGACAATGAGAGCAGCAGTGAGGGGGATAATGATTCTGGTCAGGAGTTTCTGCAGCCTGGGGTCTTCATGCTGGTTGGCAACAACAACCTGGAAGATGACTCCAGCGTGAGCGAAGACCTAGAAGTGGATTAGAGCCTCTTTGATGGGTTTGCAGATGGATTGGGGGTGGCTGAAGCCATCTCCTATGTGGATCCTCAGTTCCTCATGTACATGGCACTTGAAGAATGCCTGGCCCAGGCAATGGAAATGGCCCTTGCACACTTGGAGTCTCTCGCGATGTGGAGGTGGCCAATCCACCAGCGAGCAAGGAGAGCATCGACAGCCTTCCTGAGATCCTGGTCACTGAAGACCACAGTGCAGTGGGGCAATAAATGTGTTGCCCCACATGTTGCAGTGAATATGTGAAGGGGGAAGTGGCAACCGAGCTGCCATGCCACCACTATTTCCATAAGCCGTGCTTGTCCATCTGGCTCCGGAAGTCGGGCACCTGCCCTGTGTGCCGCTGCATGTTCCCTCCCCCACTCTAAGACCCAGGTTCTTGCCTCCTGGTCTCCCAGATTTTCCCCATCTGCAATCCACAACACTGCAGGAGCCCTCTCCAAACTAACCATTGAAATGAAATCAATCAGGCCCTGGCCGGTTTGGCTCAGCGGTTAGAGCGTCGGCCTGCGGTCTTGAGAGACACGGGTTCGGTTCCTGCTAAGGGCATGTACCTCGGTTGCAGTTTGTCCCCGGCCCTGGTCGGTTGTGTGGGTGGCAGCCACTTGATGTGTCCCTTTCACATCGATATTTCTCTCTCTCTCTCTCTCTGTTCCTCTCTCTCCCTCCCACTCTACCTGAACAACAACAAAAAAAGAAATGAAACCAATCAGCCCACTAATTTACTACACCTGTTGATTTCTTGTGATCGTTTCCAGTGTGAAACAGTTGTGTACAATTGCATTAAAAATCATGGTGTGTTTTAGAGGTTAGAAAGGGAAAACTAAACTTTCTAAATGCCACTTGAAATTGTAATAAGAACATTACATTTTCTAACCTGAACATTGAAATCAGTTGCATTTGCAGTGGAGTAGTATGCAGCTATAAGAAAAAAAGATCTCTTATCCTTTGAGACGACATGGAGGGACCTAGAGAGTATTATCTGAAGCGAAACAAGCCAAGCAGAGAAAGACAAATATCACATGATCTCACTTATTTGTGGAATATAATGAACATAACAGTCTGAGGAATGGGGTAATCCCAGAGACATGGAAGTAGGGTACAGACTGACAATCCCCAGAAGAGGGGGAGAGATAAACCACAGAACTTATATGCATGTATACATGAACAATGGACATGGAAAACAAAGCTGGGGACAGGGTGGGGAGGAGGGGTATCAGTGGGAGAAAAAGAAACATCTGTAACAAAAATAAATTAATTTTAAAAAATCATTTGTATTTGTTTCTGCAGGAGAATATGTCCCTGTTAATCATATCATCGCGTTCATCTGTTAAATATGTCCAAAAAGTATCACCATTTCTGTTGCATGTTGTGGGTTAATGTTCCTGTAATTGCAATGCCATAAAAGCTTATTAAAGTTCTTCTGGTTTTACATGCAAAAGAAACAACAGGAGAGAGGCTAGGTGTGGGGCTCCTGTTAGATTACTGGGAAGTGAAGATCACAGTGACAGAAGTGAGACAAGGCTGGGCTGCTTTAGGTTACTAGGAAGTGAGAGAAAAGGGGGCCTGGAGACAGGATCAGGGGGTGAGCCCAGGTCGAGCTGCAGCTTTCCACTGCTTCCCTGGTTGCGAGTCTTGTGGGGACCCTTAGAAATAAAAAGTTCATGCCTAGCCAGCCTTGAGTCTTTGCCCTGAGGGCTTTGTATCCCCCCTCTGCAGATGAGAATCTTAGGGGAGGGTTTCAGTAGAATATTCATCAGCTTTCCAGGTGTATTTTAAATATGCTGATGCATCAAAATGAGTATATTGGGGAGTTTTGGATTATTCTTTGGTCTGTTTTACTTTTATCTTAGGTCTGTCTGGCTTTAATAGGGTTTTTGTTATTTGTTCCCCAACTTCATCTGTCCTTGGATTTAGCTGGCACAAATGGCATTAAGTGGGTCTTTGTTCTCTATTTTCCCAGGCCAGAGTGATTTAAGCTATGTATTTTCTGATTAGGGAGGAGGGTATAAACCATTTACTCCCAAGTGTCCTTGGTTAGGGAAGGGAAGGTCTTACGATTCACAAGTTGGCTATAAGTTGCCCAGACTGTTTGGTCTTGTTTTATTTTCTTGTCTCAGTTTCCCCATTCTACTTGCCCAAGAATTTTCCTAGTTTCTTACCATCCTGCCACACTAACCACTGCTCTAGTTCCAGCCCTTTCTGGATTATTGCAACAGCCTCTGAGATCCATGTTCCACTTTTCCTTATTCTTACCAGAATAATCTTCCTGAAATGTAAATTTTGCTTATTTAAATCCTCTGTGGTACCCTAATGTGGATAACTTCCAAGCTTTATAATATGCCTCTGCCTACCTCTCTAGTTTATTCACTCCCATTTCAGTATTCACTGGTAATGCTAAAGCACTTTCCGTTTTCCTCACACTCCCTGAAGAGTGTTTTACTTTGTTCATTCTTTCACTTTCACCTGGTGTGGAGGGAAGATCCTTCACTCCCACCCCTTTTACCTGGTGAACTCCAGGTTGTTCATTCTCCCTTTGTACAAGAAGTCTTAAACCCCTACCTCCCCTGCCCGAGGTGTCCCTCTATGTTTCAAGAATATTCTGGACATTTCTCATTATACAGTCAGGTAGGTTTTAAATCATCTGTTTAGGTTAGTGTTTACTTCTCTTATGGAAAGAGTTGGTCATATTCATTTTAGTGTCTAAAACAGTGTCTGGCTTATAATGGGTGTTCAAACGGTTGAATGACTAAAGATCTAGAAAACTAAACTGCCATTTTCAAGATCATGTTGCTCATTGATGACAAAATTGAGACTGGAAAATAAGTGCCCTTTTTGTTGCCTCATGCTACAGACCAGTGCTCCTTCTAATGCATTATGTAAAACTGGATAAGTACCACATTTATTGTGTCATCTTGAGTAAATCACTTTAATTAATCATTAGTTTGCTAATGATTAAGGTGATTAAATTATTGAATTTTTACATACTGTATCTATGGGAACCTGTTTCTGGTGCATGAATAGTTTTGCATAAAATTTATATACCCACAAAGAGGTAAAACAGTGCAAGTAGATTCAAAGTAATTTGGAAAAACCAAAATGGCCTTTTAGTGACTGTATTTTGATAAGTCAGTTCAACTTTAAAAAAGTAATCTGACAGATTCCAGGCATACTGTTTAAAAAATTATGTGAGCTTTAGTTTAGAATATCTAAGGATAGAAATGGTGAAATTTGAAAAATTACATTGTAGGAATAGCTCAATAAATGTTTGATTCAAACTTGTACATGCAAATTATGATATACTGTGATTCTTGGACCTTCAGGTTCTTCCATTTTCTGGAGCATATTACAGAAATCAGTCAGGGTTTAGAAACTAAGACCCATTCATCAATTTATGGAAGGATAGAGAAGTACACCTCAGTCTGGGTGCACTTCCAATTTCAGAAGTTTTTAAAGAAACGGAAGTTTTAAAAGTGAAGCATCAGAAAAAGAAGAAGGGGCAGAGCTGCCCTGGCCAGTTTGGCTCAGCGGTTAAAGCGTCGGCCTGTGGTCCAGAGAGACCCTGTTTGGTTCCCGCTAAGGGCATGTACCTCGGTTGCAGTTTGTCCCTGGCCTTGGATGGGTCATATGGGTGGCAGCCACTCGACGTGTCCTTTTCACGTTGATGTTTCTCTCTCTCTCTCTCTCTCTCTCTCTCTCTCTCTCTCTCTCTCTCTCCTCCCACTCTATCTGAACAAGAAATGGAAAAAGGTCCTCGGGTGAGGATAAAAAAGAAAAAGGGTCAGAGCTGAAATATTCCTTAATATCATCCAGTATTCTGTGTGTATGTGTGAGAATTCCTCCAATTATTTTTTAAAAAATGCTTTTACAGTTGGTATGTTGAAACAGGATCCAAACAATGTCCAAACAATGTTTGGTTGATATGTCCTTGTGTCTTCCTTTATCTATATCAGTTTCCTCTCCCATTTTCCCTCATGCCTCTTATTTATTGGAAAAAAAATTGTTCTATTCATTTTCTAACTATGCTGCAAAGTCAGGGAGAATAGGAAGTATTATTTCAGCACCAAGAATTGTGCCTGGCACCCAATAGACAATATTTGTTCAATAATGTTAATAATACTCAAGGTCTGTGTTTTGTTCCTGTAGGTTGATCCAAAAGACTACATGTTCAGTGGACTGAAGAATGAAACAGTGGGTCGCTTACCTGGGAAGGTGGCAGGACAACAATTTCTCATTCAAGACTGTGAGAACTGTAACATCTATATTTTTGATCACTCTGCTACGGTTACCATTGATGACTGTACTAACTGCATCATTTTTCTGGGACCCGTGAAAGGCAGTGTGTTTTTTCGCAATTGTGGAGATTGCAAGTGCTCACTAGCCTGCCAACAGTTTCGTGTGCGGGACTGTAGAAAGCTGGAAGTCTTTTTGTGCTGTGCCACTCAACCCATTATTGAGTCTTCCACAAATATCAAGTTTGGCTGTTTTCAATGGTACTACCCTGAATTAGCTTTCCAGTTCAAAGATGCAGGGCTAAGTATCTTCAATAATAACTGGAGTAATATCCATGACTTTACACCTGTGTCAGGAGAACTCAACTGGAGCCTTCTTCCAGAAAATGCTGTTATTCACAACCATGTTCCTCTACCTACTACCCAAGAGCTCAAAGCTGTCCGCATTTCCACAGAAGCCAATAGAAGTATCGTTCCTGTAACCCAGGGTCAGAGACAGAAGAGCAGTGATGAATCATGCTTAGTGGTATTATTTGCTGGTGATTATACTATTGCAAATGCCATTAAACTAATTGATGAGGTAAGGAGAGAGAAACAGACATACACCTGGATAGAAACATACCACTTTCCAGAGAACTTTCATTCTTTTCAAATTGGTTATTAGAAATACAGACAATCCTTAAGTTATAGTCCTTTGACCCCTACTGATTTATCTGTAAGCTGGTTGCTTAGGCCTCAAAATGTTTTACCAAAGAAGGTTTTTAAAAATACAATTTAATTCAGTAAGCATTTATTAAGCACTTATTATGTGCAAGTTCCTCTGTTACCGCATTTCATTGATTATAAGGATGCACATTTGTTTTTGTACATTTTTGTTATCTGAAATGCATCTTTAAATTGATGGCAACTTAGAGCTGTTGAAATATAGTGTATGCTGTGGTTGGAGATAACATTGATAAAATTCTCTACCCTCAAAGAACTTCCATTCTTTATAATAAATGATTTCCACAGAAGCTCACAGAAGTGTAGTACTGCATAGTAAAACATGACCTTTTATAATTATTTAGTGGGGAAATTTATTTGGAGTTTCAATTGGTTAGGAGGCAGGAAAGACATTTAAGAATACAACTTTTGGACCCTGTTGTGACCATGAAAGCAAACTTCACATTACTTTCTTTATTGTCCTTTGCCCTGTTGCCATGAAGGGGAGGTTGGTGCAGAAGAATGAGATGACATAGCAGAGGTCATGGGCTCATGAGCAGGGGCTTTTGGTGAGTTTGAGAATAGAGAAAAGTTCTTTGGGTATCAGCTTCCACTTGAAAAATAACTGGGGGTATAGTGGTTATGGGCTCCAGAAGCAACAGTTCCTGCATTGATGGGTGTTCCAGTGGGATATCTGATTATCCAGTAATCGGATGTTCTTCAGGAGGAGTCTATTTGAATTTAAAAAACCAAACTTCCAGAAATGGAGAATTGAATATAAAACTCAGCAAGTCTTTTGAGTGGTCTTATTTTTGTTGTTAATCCTTACCTGAGGATATTTTTGCCATTGATATTTTGAGAGAGAGAGGAAGGGAGGGAGGGAGGTGGGGAGAGAGAGAGAGAGAGAGAGAGAGAGAGAGAGAGAGAGAGAGACATCGATGTGAGAGAGGCACATTGATTGGTTGGTTGCTTCCTGCACATACCCTGACCGGGGCTGGGGACAGGACCTGCAACCCAGGTATGTGCCCTTGATCAGGAATTGAATCTGCAACCCTTTGGTGCCCAGGCCATCGCCCTAACCAGTGACCCACACCAGGTAGTGCTGAATAGACTTTTAAAGAGTTGTAACAGTTATGTCACGAGGAACAGTTTTAGGGGAAAAAAAACTAAAAGTGACTAATTCTTGTAGATATATAGTCTACAATGTAGAAAACACATGTCTAAAAATCTACAAAGTATATCCGAGGTCCAGTTTTCAGAACAACAGAAGCCAAAGTATAATTTTAAGACATTGATATTTTATTTTTTTTTTATTATACCAATCCGATGAAAACATGCTATGAATCTGATAAGATATAGAAAGGGTGTTTCTAGCCTTTGAGCTACCTAATAATATGTTAATCCAGCATCTGAGAGGAAAATATTTTTATTATATTGTATGGCAATTTTTAAAAATCTACATACAGTTTGCAAAAGATATAATTATTCAGGTCAGACTCCTTTTAGTAGGTAATGAGGAGTGGACATAAAGAATAATATAGTGTGGTCCTGGCCAGTTTGGCTCAGCAGTTAGAACATCAGCCCTTAGACCAAAGAGTCACAGGTTCGATTTCTGGTCAAGGGCACATACCTCAGTTTCGGGTTCGATCCCCGGCCTGGTCAGGGAGGCAATCAGTTGATGTGTCTCTGAGTCTCTCTCACATCGATGTCTATCTGTCTCTCTTTCTTCTTCCCTCCCTCCTTCCTCCCCACTCTAAAAAAAAAATTTAATGGAAAAATATCCTTGTGTGAGGATTAAGAAAATAATATATAGTATGTTTAAAGAAAAAGACCATCAAAACAAATGTCTTCATTAATCATAAGATGTTCTTAACCTTTGTATCTATGGTAAAATGCAAGTGTTGTGTGCTCTTGAAAGCAATATGACCAGAAAGAGTGAGGTTCTTTAGATGTCCTTCTGGAATATAAAATAATTTAAAACACAAATCTAAGAATACTGATAATAGTTAACATTTATATAGTATGTACTATATTCCGGGCACTGTCATAAGGGATTTAACTCACTTAATTTAGAATAACCTATGAAATGGGTATCATTGTTCCTCTTTTTACAGATAAGGGAAATGACCCACAGAGAGTGTAAGTAACTTGCAAAAGGTCACTCAGCTGATAAATGCAGAGCCATGACTTGAATCTAGGCAGTGTGGCTTTATAGGCCACATCTTAACTCTTAAGCCTGATGCTACTATGCTGCCTCAGTGGTAAAGGCAAGTTGCTAAATGCCTGGTGGAGCAGGAATGTGACCAAAAGGGCATGGAGTCAAAACAGAAACTATCATGCAGCTTAGAAGGAAAAACCCTGGGACTTTTGGGCTAGTTGTCCTACCTAATTCTGAAGTTACAAAATTAAGGTATGAAAAGAGAACAAAAAGAAGCAAATGTCAAGTGCATGCGAAGAGGGTATCAAACTGCGGTGAAAACCAGTGACTTAAGAGAGAAATTGCGCCCTGGCTGGTTTGGCTCAGTGGTTAGAGCGTCGGCCTGCAGTCCAGAGAGACCCGGGTTCAGTTCCCGCTAAAGGCACGTACCTCAGTTGCAGTTTGTCCCCGGCCCTGGTAGGCTCGTGCGGGTGGCAGCCACTTGATGTGTCCCTTTCACATCGATGTTTCTCTCTCTCCCTCCCACTCTATCTGAACAAAAAACGGAAGAAATGTCGGGTGAGGATAAAAGAGAGAGAGAGAGAGAAATTGCACTTTTTTTAAAAATGAAGCTCGAGTTTTTAGGAAAATGTGTATAAGCTAGTTAATTCTGAGATGGAAAAAATAAAACTTGAGTCTTGTATTATAACACAAATATCTTAGAACAGTCTTAGACTGGAACTGTGATTGCTAATTCTGTTTTGTTATATACTAGGAGTATCACAGAATTTTGTTTCACTTATGTCTACAAATTAAATATATCATAATGGCTTTTTAAGATAGGAAGTATAAAACTTGAGAGGGTAGAAGGTCCAGAAAAGCTGGGTAAAGCCAAAAGCATATTCCATAGGGAGTCAAGAAAAGTTATTGGGCCTTGGCCACCTAAAAATCAGATTTCTTGCTGGCTATTAGATCACAGATATGCACAGGATAAATTAGAATAAAAGTAGTTTGAATTGTTTAGAAATATTGCATAATTCAAGTTGGGTAGTTACCATTATTTTCAAGTCTTTCAAAGTAGAAGACTTTTCATGAAAAAGAGTCTCTTCAAATGTCTACAGTGAAATATCAAAATAAAGTTTCATAGTTCATTATTTTTGGGTAACAATATTTTGAATTAATCATCTTTTGTCATTTTGTGTGTCTGATTATAAAATGAGAGGTAACAAGCAGTCTAGAAAATTAGAAACAGATGTAGAATTGTTTCTAATATTTTAATTAACCTTGTAGTTATCACGTGGCAGTGATGTCCATGTCATTTTCTGCTACTTTTTAATTTATGTTTCTTTGTTCTGAGTTAGCATTGAAAGCTGTGAAAAAGAATTTGAGTTTGAATCCAATTTGATGGAATGGTATGGAATAATGTAGTCATAGGATGAAATACTATTAACCATTAAAATTAATTTTATAGTAGGAATAGCTGGAAAATGCTCAGATAAGTATGTGAAAATTTGTAGATTATGTAAGTATCTGATCTTTTTTAAGTAGGTAAGTCTGGAAAGTTACATATACTAAAATGTTAACAGTTATGGTTATTTTTAGGAAATGATTTAAGAGAAGGGGATTCTTTTCTTTTTTGTAGTTCTATGAATCTTACAATGAACATGTATTCGTTCTGTAAATGGGGGGAAAGTAAACAGGGAGGATAAAAGGAAGTATATCTATATAGCAGTGACATCTTTGTATGTGCACCTTGGTTGATATTTTTTCTATTTTTTTGTTTTTCAAATGAGCATATATGTTACTTTCATATTAAAAACCCAGTAGGCTTTGCTAAAAAATTAAGTGGTTGAATAACTTTGCATTTTTTAAAACTAATAATTATTCTAAAAATTAATATGTACTTATTGTAGAAAACTATAGAAATAAAGAAGAGTAGAAATAAGTTTTAAAATTATATTGTACTATGCTTTGAATAGAATAGTCTTTTTAGGAATATTTTTTTATTTATTTAGTCTGTAATCAGATTAATTGGGTTTTAATCACAGCTCTGTTACTTAATAGTTGTGTGACCATGGGCAGGTTTCTTAACCACTCTGTGCCTTAGTTTTCTTATTTGTAAAATGAGGATAATAATACCTACCTCAGGAGAGAGTTAAGTGTATTATACCCAAAGTGCATAAAACTGCCTGGTACAAAGTAATTACTCCGTAAATGTAATCTATCATTATTGCGCTATACTTTGTAAAATTAACATTGTTACATAAGCTTTGCCCCATTTTATTATTTGTTAGGCTTATGAACTATGGCATTTTATCATGTCAATGTACCATAATTTACTTAACCATTCTCCTTTCATTGGACATTTTGTAGTATCACCAAACTAAGGTTTCCATCTGTTAGTTGCAATAAAAAAATTTTAATTATGTTTAAAATTTCAAGGGATCATTCACATTCCATAGGGAGTCGAGAAATTACTGGGCCTTGGCCACCTAAAAAAATCAGATTTCTTGCAGTAGGCATTGTAGTACTAGTTCTTAACCAGAACTACCCATCTGGAAGAAAGAATCTTATGTATGTGAAAAGTTGTTACAGCAAACACCCTGAATTTGAGTTATAACTAAAACAAAAATCAGCATGCTGTCACATTTTATACAGAAAAATACTAGGAAATATTGTTTTAATCTCAGAAGGTCATTTTAAAATTGAAGTGAAATTTTATTTTCCACAGATGGTTCGTTCAGGCTTTTTCCTGATTCAGACAAAGGAAGTATCAATGAAAGCTGAGGATGCTCAAAGGGTTTTTCAGGAAAGAGCACCTGAATTCCTTCATCTTCTGAACAAAGGTACCTTCTGGATGATTGGTATACTTTTATGGTTATCCTCTTGACATGCTGATTTGATTTACTCTGGCCTTTAGCTTTTCTCTTACATTGCCTTCTCTTTTTTATTTGTTTTATGTTTTTTCCTATTACTATTCGGAAATGTCAAAATTTCACATCATTTAAAAAACCCTATATAACTAATTAGAAATCAAACATTAAGGTTTTTTCCTATTCTGTTGTCTTACTACTGGAAAGTCACATTTATTATGTGTTTTATTTTTTTAATCCTCACCCGAGGATATTTTTTCTTTTTTCTTTTTGTTCAGATAGAGTGGGAGGGGAGAGAGAGAAACATTGATGTGAGAAAGACACATCAACTGGTTGCCTCCCGCAAGACCCCAGGCCGTGGACAAACCAAAACCCAGGTACGTGCCCTTGACTGGAATCAAACTCAAGACTCATTGGTCCGCAGGCTGACGCTCTAAGTGCTGAGCCAAACCGGCCAGGGCTGTGTTTTATTATTTTTAATTATTTTATTATTGTATTATTGTACTATACTGAATGACCACTTCATTCTCCCTGCCCAGAATTACAAAGCACTTGATAAGGATTCTTTCTGCCTTCAGTGTGCTTTGACCATACACAAAAAGTAAGAAATGTAAATAAAATGGTATACTATTTTGTGTATTTAATATGATTGATTAACTTTCCATGCATAATTAGGATCGTTTTCCTCAGTGGGCAAATGCTACCAGTAAATTTCAGATATTGGAAATATGTTTGCAAACAGAGGAACTAGAGTTAGTGTGCCTTTCTATAGGGTTGCTGTCTGCCTATATGCATTGAAGGTGTGCTGACTCTAGAGGACAGAGTACTGTTTTTCTTTGAGAGTGGGGACATTGTCTGCTTAAGGCCCTTCAGGCTTTTCTTGAATGGGCTGAGCAAATATGTATAGTAATATGCAGTGCTGATTTGGTATAACCTAGAAAGAAGGCACATCTGTATTAACATGTTCTTTATGTATAAATAAGTTTAATAAACCGCAAAACCTTGTATGAAAATGTTGGAGGATTGTTAAGATAATTTTAATAACAAATGCTGGTTGTGACTCAGCCCTTAAGTGTTAATACAGTATTTCATATACTTTTGTGGTTACTGTAGTAGTATCAAGAACTTGCTCCAAGCCAGAGAGTAGATCTCTACTAGTTTATATATAAGAAATTAAGACCTAGCTCCTTTGATGCAACCCTCTTGACATGGGAATATTCTGATGAAACCTTTAAAACGAACTTTTAAACTCTCAGCAGCTTTCAGAAATTTAATCAGGTAATAAGTGTAATGGGTTTCCTAAAGTGTCAGTATTAGGGATGAAGTGAACATATGAGTAGGTCTGCATTAATGACTTACATACTCATGTAATATTAGTGAAGTGATTTCAGTGAATTGCCCTAACCCAACTATAATGTCTGTGTTTAAGTAACACAACATTCCACATGGAAAAATTAGAATTTTCTGTTCCTGCAAAAAGTAGAACTAAAAGTAGGCAGATGTTATAGGGATGTCAGCAAATAAACATCATATAAACAGCTTTTAAAACCAGAGATGCCCATAGGAAGTACTCAAATACTAATGAAGTCAAGTCAAAAGGTCACAGGAGCCAGCTTGAAGGAGTTTCCACTGGCCAACTTTGGGACAATGTGAGCATCAAAAAGAATAATGAAGGGAACTGATTTAGCAACAGAAATCCACACATCTATTATGACAAAGGGGAAGGGGATAAAGGAAAGCTCTTCTTCTCTTTACAGAATACTATGAGCTAATAAATGTAGAAAAAATGATAGACTTTGGAAATCATCATTTTCCAACCCTTGATGTAATGATTAATTCAAAGATTATCAGTGGATGCTAAAATTATTTGGGGTAAAAGTTGATAAGAAATAGGACATTTATACATTCTAATTCAAAGGGGAAATGTACCTTTACAGCAGAGATTTGATGATCACCACATTAACCCAGTGATCAAACTTAGCATCACTGATGGTTGGGCAGCCTGACATTGTATTTCTTCTGATGTGCTGCAATAAGAAATATATAATATTACCCGTGAGGTGTTCTTGCCAAAACTATTTAACTTGAATCTTAATCAAGCCGAGACTTAACTTCTAGTTTATAGGAAAGAAAGGAAACAATGAGACAAATCCAAAATAGAAGACATTCTATAAGACAACTGGCTAGGACTCTTCAGATAACGTTCTGGGAAACAAACAAAAATGATGGGGGACTTTTGTATTAAAAGAAACATAACAACTAAATGTAAGGAATGAACTTTGGTTGGACCTTGGATTGGGGTGAGGTGAGCTATAAAGCTGTAAAATACATTTTTGGGACAACTGAGGAAGTTTGAAGATGGTATTATAGAATTATTGTCACTATCCTTAAGTATTATAATGGTATTATGGTTATGTAGGAGATGCATGCTGAAGTGTTATGATGTCTTTTCAGATGGCTCATCAAAACAAAAACGAAGTGTGTGTGTGCACACGTGTAGCATGTGATAAAGCAAGTCAATATATAACCTTGTTGTATGTGTGTCTGTTTAAAGACACCTTTTAGTGCCCGGCTGGTGTGGGTCAGTGGTTGAGCATCGACCCATGCACCAACAGGTCCCCAGTTTGATTCCCGGTCAGGGTACATGCCCAGGTTGTGGGCCAAATCCCCAGGGAGGGCATGCAGGAGGCAGCCAATCGATGTTCTCTCTCATCGATATTTCTCTCTCTCTCCCTTCCTCTCTCTTAAATCAATAAAGAAAAAAAATTAAAAGTAAATAAAGACACCTTTTAGTATATATTACTGATTCATTAGCATTGAACTTAGAGCCAACAGCACTATAATTCAGGTCTGAATGAAGCTTACCTAACAGATATTTTCTCTGTAAGGCATATCACAGCCTTCTTCAGCTTAGGAACATTATATAGCACTTCTGCACTACATTTGTGGGCCATTTTAAACAGCAAAATCACCAACAAAAAGAATAAAGTGTGGCCCTGGCAGTTAGAGAGTCGGCCTGTGGTCCAGGGAGACCGGGGTTCGGTTCCCACTAAGAGCACGCACCTCAGTTGCAGTTTGTCTCCAAACCCAGGTTGGGTCGTGCGGGTGGCAACCACTCAATGTGTCCCTTTCATGTCGATGTTTCTCTCTTCTCTCTCTCTCTCTCTCTCTCTCTCTCTCTCTCTCTCTCTCTCTCTCTCTCTCTCTCTCCGTCCCACTCTATCTGAACAAGAAATAGAAAAAGGTCCTTGGGTGAGGATAAAAAAAAAAGGAATAAAGTGTGAAAAATGTGGCACTAAATAAACTGTGAAAAGGACACTTGTTTTTGTTTGTTTTTTGTTTTGGGGGTTTTTTGTTTGTTTGTTTTTTGGTACGTACTCCTAGCGGGAACCGAACCTGGGACTCTCTGGTCTGCAGGCCAATGCTCCAACCACTGAGCTGAACTGGCCCAGGCAAAAAGGACACTTGTTTACAGAATGAATGCTGAAACAAGAAGGCAGAGCATCACTTTGTTCATCTTCACCTGAGAACATGCATGTCAGGCAACTCAAATTTTTTGCCACTGTGTGTATGTTCACAAATGACCAAGAAAAAACTGCAAGTATTGATTTTGGGGTTATAAGTAAATTTTGCCAAGTAGGCAGATTCACAAATAAAGAATCCACAAATAATGAGGATCAACTGTACATTATTTCATGTTAAAATGTTTCCTTTAAGCATCCTGCAAATTTTCTTATGATATTTTCATTTAATTCAGGGTTTGGCAAAATATGGTCTGCTGTATGTTTTATAAATAAAGTTTTATTTGGAGCAAAGCCACATTCATTTTTGTAACTATTGTTTTGCTGATTTCCTATCTGGCCCTTTACAGAACAAGTATGGTGACCGACCCCTCAATGTAGTTCAGAATATTTTTTAGTTTTCCTTGAGACTTTTGACTTGATCCATGGATTATTTAGAAGTATATTGTTTCATTTCCAAACATTTGGAGATTTGTCCAGATGTGTTTCTATAATATATTTGTAGAGTTCCTATTTGTATAATTCCTATTTTCTTTATTTAAGGTTTGTTTTGTGGCACAGAATATAGTGTATCTTGGTGAATATTCTGTATACATGCGAGAAGAATGTATAATCTGCTTTTTTTAAAAAAAATCCCCACCCAAGGATATTTTTCCATTTATCTTTAGATAGAATGGGGGGTGTGGGGAGAGAGAAACATCGATGAGAGACAGACACATCGACTGGTTGCCTCCTGCATGACCCTGACCAGGACCAGGGACTGAACCGCAACCAAGGTACATGCCCTTGACGGGAATCGAACCCTTGATCCCTTGGTCCATGGGCCGACACTCTAACCACTGAGCCAAGCCGGCTAGGGCATAATCTGCTTTTGTTTGGTAGAATGTTCTACAGATGCCCACTAGATCAATTTGGCTGATAGTGCTATTCAGGTCATCTATATCCTTCCTGATTTTCTGCCCACCTGTTCTATGAATTAAAGAGAGAGGAGTGTCAAAATCTCCAACTATAATTGTGGATTTGTCTTTTTCTCATTTCAGATCCTATCAGGTTTTACTTAGTGAATTTTGAAACTTTGTTGTTAGATGCATACACATTTAGGATTGTTATGTCTTGGAGAGTCTTTTATGAATATGTAATGCCCCTCTTTGTCTCTGATAATCTTCCTTGTTCTGAAATCTACTTTGTCTGATATATAGCTACTCCAACTTTTGTTTGGTTGTTAGTGTTTCATCATATATCTTTCTCCCTTTTCTTTTAATTTATCGAAGTCTATATACCTAAAGTGAATTTTTTATAGACCATATATATTGGTTCTTGCTTTTCAATCCTGTTTGACAGTCTCTGACTTTTTATTTTTAATCTTCACCCAAGGACATTTCTCCATTTATCTTTAGATAGAGAGAGAGAGAGAGAGAGAGAGAGAGAGAGAGAGAGAGAAATAAACATCAG